TCTGGGCTTGGGCAACCTGGCAGTATCCCAGGTGCATGGCAGCTAGGCACCGGAAGAATGTTACAGCTGAGCGATTTTGCTTCACCCGTCGAGGCGGATTCTAACTGTGGTTGGGACGCTCAATCACACCGAATCCGCCCTTGTTGTGAAAACCCGTCAGCTAACACCACCACGCTTAAGTCATTGCCTGTAGCGGCCTTTTGAAGTTGATTGCTATGCCATCTGTCTTATAACTTGCCTCAAGGCGTGCTGGAATGGTGACCGCTATACGTGAATGTCAGAGACCAGTGGACTTTAACATAAAGTATCAAAATGAAAACCCCACTCACAATATCATTTAATCAAATTTCTGCATACCAAAGAAATTCGCGGGTCAGCTTATTTCATCGGATATGTAGAGCAGCCCAAGGGGCTGCACGCATTTAGAAATTCATTACCCAATCCCCAAGTTAGCCCAGTGATGTCTCCCTTTTTTGCCGTTTGAACTATCCCTCTCCTGCCTTGACACTTTCATTCTGGTAAATCCACGAGAAGGCGAGAAAGCATTGGAATCGAGTTCCCACTTTACCAAACCTCATGGACAGCTATTGCTGAATCAGAATGTTAACCTCAGAATATGAAAACATTTGTTACCACTACTCTGTCAGTGCTTGGTATTAGCATCTTTGAACTCTGAGTGCTTATTTGTTTAGCTGACATCTCGCAGACCTACCGGACTGTTTGGACAGGAATTCCTGGTTGAGTCACACTGAACACTAGATGGTGTGATTAACTATGATTGTTTTTCTTAGCTCCTTGATTCTCTATCAAGAGCACCCTGATTTGCTTCCATTAACGAACATTTATGTATAAGAGATTCCACACGCATAAATTAATGCCAAGTGTTCGAGAACACATCAAAGTCGTCTGCTTGTGTCGGCCGCGGACTCAGTAACGTTGCGATAACCATGTCTAGGCTATTCTATTCTGGGTTATTGTCGATACTTAATCCTAGCATTTTGTTCCCACTTTTAGCGGAATAACAGCACTTGTGTGAACCAGTTGACGAGCTTCCATATTGCCCATCCCCGCAGACGCAAATTTCGTCGTGTGCACCGATCTACGTACATGTGTTCCGGAACCACAGTCGACACCAAAAATCGATTTTGCCGCAAAGAAGTTTATCAAGTACCATTATATGCTACTTATATCATTCAGATCACGTGCTTGCCGTTACAGTACTTTCATTTCACTGACGATCGAATACACCAAAAGACTATTTAGGGAAAAGGGAAAGCAAACCAGGGGAAAAACAAATTACCAAGCAGAAACATGTCCTTGTATCCAAATATAACATTGTTTTTAAAACAAAACAATCATCTGTAGCACCACTTCGGCACTTGGCTGCAATGCCACGATTTTCCTTTACACTTTACCCCTAGCATAGACTGGTACCTTTGAAAATTAGCGATAGTTATTATGAATAAACCCGTCCAGATCTAGGCCTGAAGAGTCTTTGAAGTTATGAAATACGTTGAATCCACACTCACTCCCGGTAGCATTCAAACCTGGCTGCTATTTCCAGCAACAAAGTCCTGTGTGCCAAACCGTTTCGCGAATAGCCTAGTATTCAAATTTCCCCCCGTCAACCAATCACAAGTGCACTCGGTCAACTGGAAAACACATGGAATCGATTGTTTCGGAGAGGCTTGACACAAAAGTGTATCTTGTCGTCTGGGGATAGTCCACTAACGTGTCATGGATACAAACACTGTCACCAAAATTATCAAGCAAGGCTTCCGTTTTTCACGACAGTCAAAGTGACAAGATAAAACAAGCCTGGTTGACTTGGAAACCTCGTCTATCTCTGCTGAAACGAGATAATGGGCTTTGAGTGATCCGACTATCTACAAGCTGGAACGTTACTTGTCCTCATTCTGTTTGTCTTCTATGACATAACTAGTTTTTTGCTTTCCACCTTGATCCTTTCAATCATACACAGCATTTATGTTTGGACTTCTTCGAATCCCACATGCCGGTAACCTTTTACACATCAATCTTCCCGTGTCTTCTCCGGCTGTTGAATCAAATAGACCGTCATGATTTTAATCGATCCATCTGGTCAATTCGGCAGCGGAGATTCTCGGGGTTTCTAAACATCCGGACCCCCATCGACTGGGCCCTAGGACCATCACTGAATACCGGTGAATGGAAGAAGGCCTTTGCTGTGAACTTATTTATTACAAAATGCTAACTGACCGGTTACAGACTATTGGACAGAGAAGCAAAACTCTCATATGCATCTTGTTTGAAAAAACTGAACTTCTCTTGAACGCGTCTTCCTGAACTATCCTGGATATTCATTGACTTTGCTCAAATCCAAGCAAATGCTACAAAACGACTCCACAAATTCCGCAACAGATTTCCCTTTTCAAGAGACGCAAAGCGAATTTACAGGAAGAAAACATGCTACTCGCATGTCTCCCCATCAATAGTATCACCGTTACACCGGTATCCCATTCGATCATCATAGTGACGAGACCCGACCAACTGTTGTACTGGATGGAAAGGCGCACTTTGGACCCACGCAGGAACGCTTACAACAGCCGCGGTCGGACTGCAATCTAAACCAGCCCACCGCTTGATTTAGCAGAACAGCGAGTATTTTCAAAAAAAAGGTTTGTTGGGTACACTGCAGTCTGAACAAGCATTCAACCCAGGTATACATAAGTGGGTGACGGCCAGTGTGCAACTTTTGGAGAATTGTATGGCCTATCCTCACAGTGGTACCTGTTAAGTACCAAACGATGGGTGATAAACTTCACCGGATGTCCATAGCTAGGGAACCGCATTTAGTATCTGTGACCGGTTGAGTCCATCCTTGAAATAGTTGCGTGAAAGAGGGGGCTCAGAGGCCTGACGAAATTACTGTAAACTGTTGATCGATAAAGAGTGAAAGGTAAAGAGAGGGTGGGTGATAGTCACTCTCAGCACCAGCTAATTTAGAGTGCTTCGACCTCAACCAAATGAAAAAAGAACACACCTTGCATTGTCAGACAACATGATTTTTGCTGGTTTTTGAAAGGTTAACTGAAACTCTGCCCACCAAAACAGTGTCTCTGAAAGAGTGATTTCATTTATTCAGCATGACATCTCAGCCTGATTCGGTCTACAGTAAGATGCTTGCTTTGAAGAGGTCATGCTCAGTGTGAATAGCACGGAAGTGTCTGCCGAATTTCACCTCGGTTTCGCATCCAACTGAACGTAAGAAGCTCCCTGACGCTTTTTTGGTGCTTGGTCATTGCCTTCACCGGTTTTTAAGTAGTACACTCATTTCTAAGAATTGTCCATTGGAACAGGGTTTCTTCTCTCATTCTGGTCAGTTCGCTTCAACAGATCTCTGCATTAAACAGGGGACATGAGTGAACTTCCCCGAAGGAGCGGTCCTTGTTTAAACTAGTCTACATCCGGAATGGTTCAGTCCATTTCTGTGAGAGACCACTGTCTCGAAAAAACTTCTAACAGATTTGTTGATTATACTTTTCAATTGGCAAGCAGTCTGCATCAAGCTGTCGACTCATTTGGACGAAAAAATCACCAACCAGATGACTGAAATCAAGAGTCACACAGTGATGGGGCTTTGTTGACAGTTCATTAAATCACGACGTAATCTGTTTACCGATTTCCGGTCAGAAACTTTCCGAGTATAAATGACTTCCCACCAAGTACCATGTTACCGACATCGGATCTTTTCCAGAAGTGCATGTGCGAAAAGTTAGACCCCGCCACTTTTGCCAGCTCCAATTTAATGTACGAACACAACGTTGGCCTATTTTTTTGATGAAAACAACTCCTTGTCCGCGTCTAGGCTCACTTTGTGCAAAAATTCTCTCCGATAGGACGTATAACCTTATATGTGCTTTCTGACGCCTTCAACTCTCGTTCATGACAAAAAGACGGTGATACGTTTTTCGCAAAGCCATGGAGTGATCCACCAGCAACAATGGTCACTGAATTACACTTTCAACTCTTTCTGACCGGTGGAGGTGTAATGGACACAATCCAGGCCTGCATCACTCCCGGCTCAATCATCATCTTCCATATGTGGACATCATATCAAGAAATTGAAACGATGATTGACATGAATTATACTCATGAAACAGTTAATCATACCGAAAACTTTGTGGATCCAACGACTGGAGCTCATACACAAACCATCGAATCTCTTTGGCACGTCTACAGGATGTAGAATAAACGCCAATGTGAGTTCGTTTGGAGGCAAAGGTATCGAAAAACGGACCTTTTCATACAACTTATTAATGAGATGTCCCAATTTCACCCTCTTCAATAAAAACTTAAAGTACAAATTTCATGCCCCCTTTTCTAATCTTTTTTGGGTTTATCTGGAGGAGATCCCCGACATCTATTTAGTGAACGGTAATAATTCTTCCGAATGAGTTAAGTTTTATTGAGCTTTTCAAGTATTTCATGCAAAATGTGTAAAATCTACCGGCTTATTTGTGTCACTGACCCCACTGAAAGTTTCCTCTGGACGTATATAATGTTCTTTCGTCATAAATGTGGTTCCCAGGAAAAAAGTTGCTTCCGTTTGGATGGCAGACAAGGACAACCCTTGTACTTTTCATATTATTGCGAATCATGGGAGTGAAAAAACGGGACGGGTTGAACAATATCAACAGGTGTGAGAAACAACGGTGGAGACCTATTTGCTCTGTTGATCGTGGGAATGGTTTCGAGGAAAACAAATCACAATCCTGGATGACAGAACTAAATGGGATTTGGCTTGGAGTCTTGCGGATCGGAACATTGAGTACTTTGAAGAGATGAAAGCTGCAAACCCCTTCCAGTCGTACCCTTTTTATTTTATAGGAACTGTGTGAAAAGTGGAACTCTTGCCCCCGAACACAAACTGATACCTCATTCCAGAAGAGAGCCGAAAATCTTTCTCTTAAGGTCCGTTTTGTAGTTCATTCTCTCCGAGTACATGCTACTCTCGCTAGATGTATAGTGCCAGTTATAATCCACGTGACCTCTCTTTTCGGATTGCTGCACGCTCAAATTTGATAGCCAATGCAGTGCTTCAGCTAGTCAATATCGAGTTGGCGACCGCTCAGGAAAAGAGTGAGCATCCCGTGATGAAAGCTCATTATCTGACTGCAGCTGAACCTTTCTCCGCTGCACGCGGTTTTCTAAACACAAAATGCGAAACATTCTGTAGTACGGTGGAGGCAACAACCAAACAGTTTGATCTCATTCATGCTGAATTGGGACCGGTGCCAAGGCAAACGTCATCGGAGGTACAACAAACAAAACCCCGTGGACAAGAGAACACGCTCCAACCGGTGCCATGAACAGAGTCTCCGTTCTACACGCAACTCTGAATGGTCAGAATCGTGTTTGGACATACAGGCTACGTTGAGTCTAAGGAGGTTATATTGGCATATTCGTATTGCTGCTCAGTCATCACCACACATCAGCCGGCTGCTGGCCTTCGAAGCGGGCTCCTGAACTGATGCAATTTCTGCATACCGATGTTTTCAATGGGGCGGCATGTTTCCTTCTGACGTGCCTGATGGATCGTTGTCAAGTCTGTTTTGAGCAGCTCAGTGGTTGTCTGGGATTGAAAACTTTGCCCATTCTGTGAGTATTTGCTCATTAGTTTTGCCTGTGTAAGGATATCTGGTTGTCTTTCGAACGCACGACTTTACTCCCTAACCCCTCGCCTTCATAAGATTGTGAGCGTTTTTCGTTTATAACTTTCCAAAGCGGTATTTGTACAGTCGTTTGAAAAGTGCGTTTGTTTAACCCAGCGTTATCTTGCCTCACATCTTTTTCGATAGATAACGTGGGGTAAACCTTGCATCTGTCCCATTTCTGAGTGAGTACACACAGCTCTATCGTTTTTCCCCTGAGCAGAGCGCTGTTTATCGACGCTCTGTTTGCCAACAAGTTTCATGCTGATGACATGATGTGGATGGTAAGCCGAATGCCAATCGGAATGAGTCTGTTTTCAATGCACAGATTTACACCAAAGCCTTGCCGGTCATATTGGAATACCTTTTTTGTGTTTGTTTTCTAAGACTGCCATATTGCGGTGGTCTGTCACACAATCGATTCGATGAAATCCCAACAGGTGGGTGACGTATACATTGACTTGTGTCGTTTACCCATTCTATCAGAAATTGCCCATAATGTCTCAAAGTAGGTTGCTTACAAAACTTTTTGTCGCTATCAGGTCTGCACAGTATTACTACCACGTCGTTCTTACCCGCTTCCTACATATGGATTGTTCAATATCTTATAAACTTGTTTTCTGAGAAACCGGGTGGTTTGAAAAGCAAGGTAGTTTTATACTCGTTTCAGGTAAGACTTCCAGAAAACGGTAGGATTTTTGGGCTTATTCGGAAGCATTCCTCGGGTGTAATTCTGAGACGTTGCATCCATTCTTACCGTTTGTTGTGTTTGCTTATACTGTGGTCACATGACTGGAGCTAGTAAGCACATTCTACCGGATAACACGCGGAGTTCAGTTATGAACTAAGACGCCAAAGGTGAAAATGTTGACCAAATACCGACTCTAGTTCTGAAGAATGAATTTCAACTGTTCCTAAAATGGTTCTCAAGCAGTTCATCCAAGCAGTCTGAAAAAGAAAATATACGGGTAAATGCATCAAACGGGAGTCAGAAAGTGCATGAACTTCATTCGTTTGTAAGGGCTTGAACTTCAGTCCACAAACTTTGTTGCTGAACGCAAATGAGCCAATAGAAAGTCGAAGACAGTCCTAAGTACATCACCAAGTAATAAGACTAAAGATGCCAGGTTCCTAGTTGCATATGTTCTTCAGCAACGGCAACAAATTGCTTATAACCCGTGACCATGGAAGACAAACTATGGGCTGATGACCTTGAAAAGTCATTGTTTGACAAGGATGTTTAATGAAAGCATTTAAACAAAATCGAATGAGTTTAGCGGCGGAACTAGCCAGAGTAGTTAGGTAAGTAAGCACAGCTTGTATCGCTCTGATTGTCTCCCTTCAGAAATCGGTTCGGGTAGTGCTGATATGTTTTCCTACAGGGGGCTTGGTGGAAAACCCCATTGGGGACTACTGCTCTCATCGTGGAAGGCCAGCCGACTAACCATGTTGCTCCACCCCACAGCAATCCCTGACAGAAGTCTCTCTAGAGAGCAAAAACAATAGGTCAGTTCTCCAGAAATTTCCTTACTTTAGGTGGCTCCGTGCAGAACTTTATGGATTTTCAGCTCTAGTCAGCGAAGTCTCATTCGTGAAGAATATCCTTCATTGAAATTGTTGGGAAACGCTTGCTCCTGCTCACGTGTTTTGTCATCGATTAGTCGATAGATGGAGAGCATTCAGCACTCCACGACTAAAATGTACCAATCAAATCAAAGCTTAACATGATTTGTTTCCGTTGCCCAAAAGTGATCACCCTGTTTGGCGTGGTTCTACCAATCAGGCCACTGTCCAGCGTTTGAAACAGATACTGTAGGCACCCCAGCAGATGGCAGATTTCACTTGACAGTGACTATGTGGAGTGGACATCCGTATCACATCCGTTTCTATCAACAGAACGCGCCAAATCGGTCGTCATATTGATCGTATACCCTGACCCGCTTGATGCTGCTGACGAGTCAAATTTTCACGGCGTCATGCTGGTGAGTTGTGCTCACCCACCTGGTTTTGCCGGTAAAGCAACTGAAATCATTATCCGATTGGAGTGAAAAATTCCAAAGTCCGAATTTTTCAAAAAGTAAACGTGTACCTTTAACAAAACCCTGTATTCAGTTGCATCCGCCTGTGGCAGTATAAGGGTCTCACGAAAGCAGTCGAGAGGGTATATGAGCCAGAAAATTACCTGTTGAGCGACTCCGTTTGAACCCTCCTCGATGATTAGTGACAAGTGTGCTACCTTCATGATGTCGTTTGATTCCCTCCGTAAGGAACTATCCGGAAATTTACAGAAAGTAAGGATGACAGAGGTAGCCAAGTAACTGCTGGTCTAGAAGTGAAAAATATGGAGGATATCTAAAAACTAGCTGGAAAGAGTTCAGGGAATGATAACAGGAAAATCAGCGTAAAGGTCAAAACAAAATCAAAGGTGTGCCATTCAAAAAGTGCGCTAAGAAAAAATTGGGACCAGCCATCCTTGTGACGATCGCTGGAAGATAAAAGCGTGAACAGGATGCAAGGTAAGTCAGCGTAATGAAAAAATGGGAATTGGAAAAAATTCTAACAGAGTGAGTTGTTGGGAGCTCAGACGTGTCATGTAAAAGTTTGAATCCACCGGTCAGTGGTGAGTGCATGTGATCCTCAGCTGGCAGCTTTCTTTTAGCTTTAGACTCAACAATTTTCGATGGAAAACTTGGGTAATCTACTGGCCTTGTAGGCGCACAAACGGAATTTCCTTCGCGCGGTGAGCAAACAAGAAGGCTGATATGGGTGAAGTGTGTGTAAACTATTCATCTGCTCATCAGGACAGAGTCAAGCGTAGTACCAACGTTCCGGGGAGAAAACGTTTTTGAGGTCCAGGATAAATTCGAAAAGGTAGAATTTGCAGAAAACCGAGTAAAGGCTGTAGAGTTTCAAGGACCCTATGGATATGGGCCTGAAAGCTAAATCACCCGTGTCCAGTTGGTGGAAGAAAAAAGGAGTGAGAGGGGTAGGGAGGAAACACCTGCAATGACCAGATCAACTCTTGATGAAACATGCAAAATGATGTGTAGGAGATTGAGAGCTCCCTTGTTTATCGCCCTTTAGGATCCCGAATTCCAATGAGAAAAGACACTGGGATAAACTGCTCCTGATAGAATGCAACATGGATTAATTACACGTCCTATAGGTATCAGAGGAAAATCCAAGCTATCAGCGCTCCTGGGCTAGTGTGCTGTTTAATTCCGGGTAGAACTTTTTTTCCGTTTAAAGGAGAGAAAACCAAGCGTTTTGGGGTATCACTGCCATTTGAGCAGAAGGTGCCAGAACTAAGGGCACATGTATCCAGTGATGAAAAAATGGGAAAACCGACACAACTGTACGAACTAACGCTTCAAAAGTGAATTGCGAGCCTAAAAAAGTATCGATAGAAAAACAGCCTTATTGGAAAGAATGTAGACCAAAATGAACCACACGTTCGAAGACACGGACAGCATTCAATGTGGCTAAACGATTTCATTATCTTCGAGTTCCAAACACGAAGTACAGCTTGTGTCAGTTGAACAAGCTCATATGGTCGAACACTGGCCAAACAAGCAAACTGAACACATCTTCTAGCAATACTTTGCCACAAGGGGGGATTTTTTGTCGACAGTATCCTTTTTCGAAAGACCCTTGGCAGTACAGGTCGATATTCAAAGGTCCGATCGAAGTCATTCTTAAAGGTAACTTCTCTCTTCAAAGATCTCCTGACAGCGTTTTTTTTTGTGGTCACGATGGCTGTCACGGACTACGAGAATAATGGGGGAATATTAAAAAACAAGCATCAAATTGGGTAGATCGGACCTTCCTTCTTAGAAAAACGCATTTTTTCGGGACGTAGCTGTCATCCTTTTCGAAATAAAAAGGCTACCTCGGCCTTGCTAGCAACAGAGACATGTGTCCTATCCACAGACCATTCAGTCAGGCGATCATCGTGTGGCACCGTCCATCCAGCAATGTTGGGCTCTGTGATTGCGTTCCACCACTCCAACCGCACTTGTTTTTATGATGTCATAAAATGAATTCATAACATGCAATAATTACGCATGGGACCTGATTAAAACCACATCGATCTGACCACAGATCAGGAAAATTAGTTTTAATTACAAAAAAATGGACATCATATAACCAGATCATTGAGATGAAACTAACTGAACTGAACTGAACAATGTTTTTATCGGACCCACTGATATCGATCTTGGCTATGTCCGTTCTCCGGCTTTCAACTCTAATCCAGCCGTTACCAGACCACGTGACTCTACTCAAATCGCAAGGAGAACATATGCAAACAATTGGGACATGTTCTCGGTCTGCGGGTGAGCACAGAAAACCAAAGAAAAAACACATCCACCATATCAGGTCATAAAATTAGGATGGCCTTTCGGAGAAAATAGCCCTACAAACAACCAGCGTAAACAAGAATGTGGCCTGTATGGTTGTTCAGTGATTTTTGAACCAACAGGAAACATGTCCAAGCAGTGTCTACCCCAATAAATTTTACTATGCTTTTTGAAGACTAAGCTGCACTTGTTCATAGGATTTGATGAGCGACTGAAAAAGGAAAACGCTCGTTGTAGTGCAGTTAATCAAGTATATATACACATACTTATATATATATATAAGTATGTGTATATATACTTGATTTTACAGACTCTTACAGACTCTTTTACAGACTCTTGCTGATCATTCAGCAGTAGCACCTTTTCGGTGCCTAGCTGTCATGCCACCCGAAGGATGCACACGGGACGATATGCCTAGACAGGATCAGTCGAGATGTACAGGTAGAACCACGGACTTTCTGGCCAATAAGTTTGCTCCCTAACCACAGAAATAAAAAGAAATGTACCGACTGGGGGGCACGATAACTCAAGTCCTTTCTGCCTCAAGCACCAACCTTCCTCCCAAACATTGAACAGCGTGATTGATTGTCTACCGAAATCAAGGACACTTAACAAAACGTTGGTGAAATTCTGCCATAGCTACTTTTACTTTGTTGTGGCATACTGCACTTAATTTTCAACAGCAAGTCAAAACGCTTAATACAAGCTGTTCTTGGCTTTGAACATTGCAGTATCAGGAACGGAAACGTTTGGCAAGCTTCAAAAAGCAACACGACTGAGCGTATGCGCATTAATTTTCTAATTATTGGCTGCACAATATATCCGTGTTTTTTTTTGAAGGTTGACATTTTAAAAACATCCAACTGCTCCTCGAACTGGGCCTGAGAAGCGATTTTCCCCAATTGTTGAAAATCGAATTGGTCACGTGAATTTGACGAATTGGCGCGAAATTGTCTGCAAAGCGCTAACTTCTGTGTAGGAATAACCCGCGATTTATCATTGTGGAACTTGCTGTCAGATATGATTACTTCATTGTTGGATAGTCAACCCGAAAAATTAGAAGCCATCTGTAACGTAACTGCCCTTTATTTCAGATCAGCCTGATCGTGCCTAGACGGAGCCCACAACGTCCTCAAAAACTCGTTTTGTGGACCTGAGGGGAAACTCAGACTTTCACTCGGGCATCTTTTTATGACACAATGAGTAGATGGCTGCTTAGCCCATCAGCTGGATCACTTCATATTTCCTGAATTTTTTTATCAATCCATCTAATAGAAATGTTGACTAAAACCTCCTTTATTAGGCCTACCCGATCGCGACACCGGAGGGAACGATTGCTGTTTCCCTGAGGGCCAGCTGTCCAACTACTTTTTGTGAGAAACGTCGTGGATCAAAGGCGATTCGTGATGCAGTTTTAATGGGCGTAACGGCTAACCTTCCCCCGTATTTTAGGGTTGCTGAGTTCGCTTCCATCATTGCGGGGCATTTGAATGTAAGATGAACTTTTGGCGCCACAAAATCTATACATGAATAAAGAATCACAGAAGCGCTGCTTGTCCCACTATGGAACTCATGTCTGCCTAGCAAACTCTCATTGCATAAAAACCTGACTTTCGATGTATAATGTAAACCGTTTCACGACGTGGTCACCACATACAGTTCCGAATAGATGGCTAGAGAAGAGTCCTTGAAAGAGATGTTCGACAGTGTCTACCCACACTAAACAGCGGAAAGAAAACATGGTCAGACTTTAGCGATACCACCTTAAGGAGTCTGTCAATACAGAGCGATCCGATCACGAACGACATCAAACACGAAGTGACATTCGTACTGAATCGCACGCTTCCAGCTCTTCAGTGGAACCCATATACCGTACTCAGATAAATAGCGCTTCAGGCTTCGTCAATCGTCAAACTTTAGCTGAAAAATGCACGGACGTCTAGGGCGGACAATTTTCCACAGAACTAAATTGGGGTTTAACTTGTAGTTTGTTCCATGGATGTTTCGAGCAACTTGCCTCTGATGATCAAAAATTCCGCCCTCCACACCCTTCAGTAGCCTATTTCAATATTCGCACATGGGTTGTCTCAGAATGCTCAGGTGTTTGACTGTCCTGTCCCTCATCAACTGTGATAAGTTATTCAGTGGAAAAACTCACGTACAAGTCGACCAGTTCTTTCTGTATCATTAGGTAAGAAACGCCATCCTGAATTATCCTGGCTGAGAAGCAAGGAAGCTAGAGGGAGGCTCACTATCCTTCAGAACAAGCGAAGCATCAAGAGGTCGTGGAATACTATGGTCCCATGAAAATCCTATGACATGCAATGGCTTCCCTTCAACTCAAACCAGTCGAGAAGTGTATTTGGAAGGAATTATCACCTGTAACAGAACGCGCAGAAGTTTCACATACCACCACTAACTGGTTGGTGCAAAGCAGTAAAACGTATTCCGTCCTTATACCAAACAAAGGGACTGATAGCCTGCGGTGACCACTAGCCATAATCTTGCAAGCCACACGTTGCAGCATCCACAATCTCACCAATCTTGCGGGGCGAAAGATGTGCGATGGATATGCAGCAAACCTCCTCACCGATCACGAAACCCAATAACGCCTGTGTGTGTGTGTTGGGCCCCGAGATAATCACTCATTGTCGGATGTCTAGAAGAGGATAGTATGGCAAGTGCTGCAATTCGACGTCTTTGACAGAGTTCGGAGGTGTCAGCTGACGTCGTAGAAAGTGTCGATATAACAAAGGTTGCAGGAAAAAACAATGACCTAGTTCCGGCCTTTCCTGTGGCTGTGCTTTCTTTGGTATCGACGAGTCTCAACACAAGCGCGCTCATAAGTAACACGTGGACTAGGGCTAACTTAAGTGTGATCGCTTCGCAGTTGGCCGGAACTGCTCATGCCACGGAAAAAGAATACTTTCAAGCTGTTATACCGGTTACTTACAGACCCGTGACGAGTGGTATGACTCAAACTTGTCGGCCTATTTGGCTATCGGAATCCGGCAAATCGAGGCCAATTCGTCTCATTTAAAAAATAGGGATCTTTTGATGTGATTACCCCTCAATCAACCGATGATCTCAAGAAAATACTAGTGCCCGCCAGTGAGCTACCCATGTTTGCATGTATCCCAGGAACCCTGTGGAATGTACGATTCTGTGCGTGGCCAATAGGACTGATGGTAACACACCATTCTATAAGCGGTCTGCGATATCAGCCCGCTTGATTGATACCATTCGGCAGATCAGTCCGGCCGAGTGTCACGAACTTACTCAAACTCCGTCCGATAAAACGCCTATTTAACATCCGAAGTGGTTGCAGTTCGACCAGAGCCAAACGTTTATCATCAAAAGTCTCACGTGGAGGCGCATAACGTGTCAAGGTCAACCAGCACCTACGTCGAAACGAGCCTAATGCCGACCGCAACTAGCTCTCCAGTTTGCAGAACAATTTCATTGACTAATACTCCAGCTTTTCTCTTCCCTTCAACCCTTGCACTTGCAATGTGTATACATCAAAACCACAAACTGATTGCAACCAAACATCAGTGCAATAGTTTATTTCAGCTAAGCAACCAATTAAAATATTCACGAACGGTCGAAATGTACATAACCAATCGGGTGCTCCGTACAACACGGACGCTGACTCTTCTGTAGCGAGTAAAGCCCTCTCTCCACACACACAAAAACAAAGTGGAGGGCATGTGTGCTGGTAGCCACGATGGTGTCTATCGTTTTGAAAGCTCTGAAGCGACCCCAATTTAGCGCTTGTCACAAAAACGGTCTCCCTTTCATGTTTAGCTCCCACGAGTTAAGCGAATCCAAGAACACAACTACACACAACCACAGAGTAGAAAAATAATACCTGTCGTTCAGCTCTGACATCCCTTCGGTTCATGGCTACGTGCAATCCAAGGGAAGAATGACGACTGAATTACCACCAGACTCACAATTCTCGACAGGAACAGTTGGAAAGCTGGGTACGAACAACGAACCTCCATGCTACAAGGTGGACTTTCAGACTAAACTGTTGAACGCATTGGGATGCCGTGTAAAGAATGCAGATATCTAAGACAGGTGTTCAAATTGTTAGTGGGTTTAACATGTTATTCAGTTCCCCTGTCGCCATTATGGACCTTTCCCCAATATGATCTATTAGGCGGAATCCGGCTGTCCTCACAAGTGACCCATTATCCACCTCAGCCCAGTATTCACTCAACTGCGCGAACAGATGAACAACCAACTGTATCCATTTTCATATTTTCCTTATCACACATCAATTTTCCCTGTATAACATCTTGCACTGCCTTGTACTTAGTTATATGCAGAGTTATAAAACACTCAGTCAGTGTGATGAGATCTCAGGAGAGCGTTTGGGGACCCATAAACACAAGAGTGCACGGCAGAAAGTTGAACGGGTGGGACCAGGAAGCATGTGATAACTGAACTCGTATATTACAAAACCCGTATCATACGCCTGCACCACACTGCTGTGAGGCAGTTCCTGGGGAGAGCCGACCACGTTAAAGTTGGGCCTTCGCTTCTCAACAGACGAAACAACCAAACACACCAACAATGTACCTCGTCATTACTGTTATTTAAAGGAATTTGTATCAAAGACAAGGAAGAAATTGTAGTCAATAAATATTATAATTTCATCGACCATCCGCCTTGTAGTAATCTTAACCAAACACCCTGGTTACAGATGAAAAAAGAACTCAAGAGAGTATAAAAAAGGTTCACAAATCCGATGTACCACAGAGAAGAAACTAAAAAGCTTGATCCCGTAGGAACCACGTTTCACAGTTGGCTTATATTAAGGATGGAAGTAAACGAAATGTGAAAGATGAGGGAAAGGCGGTCGGCTATCCATTATGCTGAAAAAAAGAACAAAAAAAACTGGTGTAAACGAATCCCGTGTTTGTTTTACCAAGTTGAGTATAAAATAAACAAGATCGAAACAAACAAACAATGAGAGGGGCCAAACTGCGGTGCAGAAGCACTGAGACCAATGAAGTAATCGCAGCGAAAGACGCTACTTTATTCCATTGCAGGCGATTTTAATATTGACTAGTCAGATTATCATCCAGTGGCATTTGTGATCCATCGCTCCTATTGTGGTCATACTGTGCATAAAACTCAACAAGGCGTCCTTGAAGGATCGATGCAGCTTAGCTACCTCATCATCATCACTGTCAGCCATAATAACCGCGTACTTGTCGTACACTGGTTGTCGTTGCCACAATTTCGTTCACCGATGATTCGGGGAGGTGGGGTAGGTAGCTGCGCAGTGGAGACGGGAGCTGATAAATTAGTGCGTGAATACAGCACTGTAGGTGGACTGGTAAGTGGGTGAATTTGGAAGGGAGCTATGCATTGAAGGCAATAGCTTGGATGCATGAGCGCCATTGAGAGCGCGACTGGGCCATGTCAGACGATGTCTCTAACCATTGATATAGCCCGTCTCGGGGTCCCCATCCAGGAAGACGGCAGTGACCAAACGCCGCTGAGTTGGTAATAGCTTTTATACTTCGCTGCCAAGTCATTGTTTGGCCGCCTCTGGCTCTCTTCCACCCTCGTGGTTGTGCGAAAAGAGCCCTTCGAGGCTACCGGGTTTATTCGAGCACGGAAATGCCACAGAAGAATCCAAGTTAACTTTTTCTGTGGTTCTTATTCGCCTATAGTCAGGTAGTGATATATGACACCTTGGTAATCAACAGGAAAGGACGTTTCCTCACAACACAAAGTCACATAGAGGAACACTGAAGAAATAAAAACGGTTCACTCTAGAGTAGCACAATCTTGGTACGAACACGCAACTTTCTTTTGTGCGCACCACTCCAAGTTTTACAGAAAGTGCACCCTCTAGCCGGTTGCGACGGGTGAGTTAATCTGACGAGATTTAACCGAGGGATTAGGGGCTTGCTATGATTTGTTGTTTAACCTGTTATGCATTTTGGGAATGCTGGAACTCTAGACCCGATAGTAATGGTGGTTGGTACATCCAGTGCAAGGTACAGAACGCCTCGAAATTCCGTCACGATGCTCACTAGCATTCCCTTTCATTCAAGCTCAAGTCTCGAAAATTCAAAGTTTCCAACAGCGTGGTAGAGATGAACCAGATATTTCCACGAATCATGGTTAGCTTGGGATGATAGGTTATCACTAAACAAAGGCCCAGCACAGCTTGTCACGTGATGCGCCTCGAGACATATTTGTGCACGTGCGGAAAGAAATCGCACCCGAAGGCTCATTCTACGGTTACGTTGCCTCACACCTCTGATGGCGTTTGCGAACTTTCACATGTTGTCAGGAAAACCTACTAGGAAAAATAAAAACCTTAGGCTGTTTGATCTTTGCCAGGAAACAGGAATATGAAGTAAAACCCATCAGGAAGAGACGCCTTCAAAAAAAAATAGCTTGTATGCAGTGTGATTTCTGGATTTCCCATCTGCTATTGTTAAAATTATCACAATTATCCAGAACATCCCACTGAACAAGTCTGGGGAGATTGAACACAATCTCCCAAAGCCGAAAACTTTATCTCATCACCATCATCATCGACAGCATGACATCAGTCTTCAACACCGATCCTTCACTTCAGTACAACCATGATCTATTTGAAAGCCTTATTGTAAAGGAAAGAGTAAAGGTGGACAGGGAAAGGACTTAGTGCTAGCTTGCCACAATCATTCCGAGCGGGCGTAACGTTGCAAAGCGGCGACAATGCTTACCGAAAATCTCGCTCCTATTCGACCTGACCTGTGAATCTGTGGGTTGGTGAGTTTGAGCTGCAAATGCCCCGATACAACAACTGTGGTGAAGGACGCTTACAGCCAGTCCACACTGTTTCAGGCGGGTGTATTCGGGAGGCTAGAGCAGGGATTGGTACCGTAGCTGAGTGAAACACAATGTTTGTGTTTGTGTACAAAAGTCTTTGTTGGTCATAACTAATGCGCGAGGCTTACCCCTTGGTAATCATCATCAGCATAGCAGCATCACTGTTTACATTTTGGTTTAATTTATAGACATAAAGTGGTGAAACAGAATATAGTGAATGAGGGAGGGACCTTATGCTAGCCTATCGCAAGCATTCTATGGTGTCTTCATCTCCAAGCGCCAAATCAAATAACTTGTAAAGAAACTAAAGCGGCGTGAACGTCACTGACGTCGATCAGCTAGATTGCCAAGTGTACAGTGTTCAATACGACGGTCAGATCTGCCCTACTCTATGGATTAGAGACGTGATGGCC